TTCAAGATACATGCACAGAGGTTTTTTTCAAGATGAAGTTTGATCAAAGCTGTGTATATGTCAAAACAAAACAGGATAGGTAAAGTAATTTCTGAGGAGCAAAAACAGACCCTGAGTGGCAGCATGGTTGAATGGGAGACAACAGAGGCTGGAGGAAAGCAAGGTGCATGGACCACATAAGCTCTTCCTTGATGCACTGAACAATTAGCTGTATCATTCACATGGCATAGTATGGCAGGCTGCAAACAGCCCTGCAAAAGAGGACTTAAAGTAGCTTTTCCCAAGATGAATTGTGTCCCTGCTCAGCTGCGGTCTGTACTTGTCTCACACCAGTGCTACCAGTCAGTGTAATCAATGCTAATTGTGGTGCTAGTATTTGTAACACATTCAACTAACCTTGAGAGTGAAACTATGACTGGTCTTTGTTGGCCTTCTCATCAGAACCTTCTTGGGAACTGACATGACATCTTGGGAATGAAGTGACAATTAATATGTTTAAATACACCGGCTACCATCTTCCAAAGTATACACAAAACTTAAGTGTCTACAGTGCAATCAGTCTCCTTCCTAAGCAGAGCCTATGTGAAATTCCATACTGCCTTCCAGAAAAGCAAATGTGTTTACCAAAAGAACTCAGACCACCAAAATCTTTGTGCTTTGGGTAGGAGGACACTTTACATTGATCATCAGACCTGCATTCATACAAAAGAAAAGGCTTCCGTCTTAGAATAGCCCTGTGTTTGTTCAGCTTGCCTGTGTACAGAAATCCATGGAAGAAATCCTGAAGGTTATATTTTCCAGTTCAGAGGATATTTAGAAAAGAAATAACTTTATTTTGAAGTTGCAAAACACTGAGAAGAAAGCGGCAAAGCCAGATATTGGCAATAGCCCTTTAGAGCAGCTGTAACAGCTATGGATATATTTTCTTCTGCTGGGGCTTATCCATGAAGCACAGTTGTTGGTTGGTAGAAGAAAAGAATCTTTTCACGTAGATGAAAATTCTCTGGCTCTAGTGTTTCTAAATCTGTTTACCTAGGTCTAGTAAGGTTTATTTTAAAGGCCAGGTTTTTTCTTTAGGAATTTCTCAGTAAATAACATATTATGCATATCTCAGCGGAGGTATTCTCAAAGCTGCTGTAAAAGCTATTGCAATGCTCTAGAAATTGGAGGAGTCCCAGCCAGGGGAAGAACACAAAAGAAAAATTGCCTTAACATTAACTCTAGCTGCAGCCAAAGAGATTAATGAAATAGTCAAAGAGATTAACGTAATAACCAAATAGATTAATAAGAGCAGCAATCAAGGGAATTAGTGTGATGGGGCTAGTAGACCCCACATTACCCACACACCTCCTTCATTTAGCCCCCAGCGATAACTCCCTTGAAAAAGGCCAGTCAGTTAATGCCTGAACATTTGTTGCAACTACTACTACAACTACCGCTGCTTCTACTTCAACTAGTACTGCTATTGTTGCTACACCACAAATAAATGTGGTGCTTGTAATGGACAGGACCCAAAAAACTCTGGATTTATGCTCTACGCACAGCAGTATGGCAGGTTTGTCCTCCTCAGTGGCCTTAATCCTAACGCAGAGGAAAGACGGTACCAATACCTTCCAGCCCTTTACACACCTTCAGCCTCTCCACAGAACAGGGAACTAACGCCAATGGTGATCTTTCTTTCTCGTCATTAATATTATTTATGTCATGTATCAGAGAACACTGCCCAGGGACACCAGCCAAGCTAGGGTAATAATGTGCTGAACAAGCATGTAGTACCAGATACATTATCACCGTGAAGGAAATAAAACCCCAGAAATATGAATTAACTGTCTTTTGTGTAGGGCTGGGAAATGAGACTGAATGCCTTGCTCTAAAGCAAGCCTTGAGTCACAATCTTCCCAGATTCTTCCCTAAAATATACCTGCAAGTGGAATTCAGCTAACCATTTACAACAGGTGGCCACTCTACATGGAACAAAACCATCATCAACTTCAGGAAGAGTTGAATCCAACCCATGAATGGTGAAAGAGCAACCTCATTTCATTACATTTTCTTTTTATTCTCATTCAAATGGAAAAGAAGTTTCTTAAAGTTTGCAAGGCTGCTCATGCCATCTGCCATTCATGTAACAACGGATGGTCCTGTAGTGTTTCTGCTCATGTACTATTCATCTTTTAGTTATTAAGTTTCCAGCTAAGCACAATTTACTAAATACTATGGACTCTGTTTACATGTGTTAAGCTCTAGTTGAAAAAAAAACCCACAACAATATAATAGGTATATCAACCACTACGTAAAAGTATGCTGCTTCTATATGTTACCTTTCAGTCAATTATATTTGCAGTTCTCCAGTTTTCTCGAAATCAGCAGTCATTCTATCCCTGCATTTCCATTTTTACTCATTCTGGCTTAGATAAGCAAGATGTTGCTTGATGTAAAACCACTACGTCTGTTTTCCAGATACTCAAGGGACATGCTCTATTTTCGTAAAATGGAGGAATTTCCAGCTCCTTGTACATTGTGAGTAGATGAGTCATGCCACAGCTACAGGTTCTTAATATATTTTCCCTGTGGAACAAATAAACTGTGTATATTGCTACGGTTTCTAGAGCTAACCTCCTCTAGGGAGAAATTTTGCCTTCAGCAGAGGTTAATTTCAGTCCAGCTTCAACATATGCATCACAGAGAGATAAACTGCAGAGTCCTGGAGACCAGGAGACACAGTTTCTCCACCTCTAGTAGTGCATTGTATTCAGGCTCCACTAACACCTACACCTCTACAATTTATTTCACTATATATAAAACTTGGCTGTATGCTCTCCTTGCGTATGGAGCTTTTTGGCTGCTAAAAAAAGAAAAATATGTTGTATCTTGGAAAAACCAAATTCTTCATGTTGTTGTAGCCTGTCTGTTTAGACTGCCTAAAAAGGTAGAGGCTGTTCTGGAATGGCCTCATATTCTTTTTAACATTGACTATTTGTTTCATCAATTGCTTTGTTTATAGATTTTGCCAGTGTTGTTCAGATTTGGGGGCTTTTTTGCAGGTTGAAAAAGAGTGTAGGTTTCCCTTCTGTAAGAATTGCTTTAAATATATTAGTCTTCTCAGTTAGTAAAACCTAAAGTATGAAAAAAATTTTAACAGTTTCTGCCTAAACAAAACAATATGATGCCAGCTCTAAGCAGCAACATCAGGAATGACAAGTTATTATTTAATATTCAAACTTGACCTGGCTAGTCCTCCGTATACACAAGTCAATGTGAATTCCACGCATGGAGGCTTTAAAGGACTGGGTTCAGAGTTTGTAGAGCACTAAAAAGCCAGTGCTCATTTTTTAAATGCCACTGCACACCTAGTCATCAACACAATAGTACAGCACTGCATAGGCCGTTGTGTTTCTCTTGACTCAGTGCTAAATGTCACATTGTTCCTGAAGAGCAACTACCCTGTGATGTGTGAGAAATCTGGCCTTCTGCGGATCTGCTCAAGCCTCACCCTGCTGCAGCTGACTTCAGAAAAGGCATCTGTTTAGTGTCATTTGTACCATATCAGAGAGGATATGGAGACCAACAGTGAGCCACATTTCCTCCTTGGAGTTTGCATATACACTAGGTTTATTAAACATGTTTAATGAATTAAATATTTATTGTTTATAGATTTTATATTATTATATAATATAATTAATGATTAATTATTTGTTTAATTTATTAAAATAAAGAAATAAATATTTTATTAAACATACAGATTAGGCAATTAGCATCTATTTAGTACTAGCTGAATCCAGAGAGTATCCTGTTCTACATAAGGATTGCAGTCAGTGTCAGGTGTTTGTTTTAGTTGTCCTATGGATATGCCACTGCAACTGGTAACTCCAGTTGCCTCTACTTTTTTTTGGTCTCTGATGTCTTATGTTCTTCTATTGAAGGCACTAGACAGAAGCACAGCATATACAGGCTTCAGGTTCAGCAGACAAGCACAGCATACACAGGTTCCAGTCTTCACTGCAATCTTCTCAGCACTTCTTCAAATGCCCAAATAAACATGCAACACATTTTCCGAGTCACATAAAATTCTATTTCTGCATGTGATCTGTATTGCCATGATTTCTCCCAGCAAAGCATAACCACATTTACTTAAAACCATGGTCTGAAGTGAATGAAAACACCTCTTCCATCCAATAGTTCAGTGGCAAGAGTGGGATCTCCGCAGGAGTCAGGTATGCAAGGTTCCCAGGGACATTTCACCTTAGCAGCTTCAGACTGTATCCTAGGAAAACATCCTAAGCTTCTCTCTGATGCAAACCATTCTGCTCCCCACTGCTTGAAACAAGGACCACTGGGAAAAAATAATGTAGTTCCACTGAGTCAGGAGGAAAAAAGAGGAGTCATGTTAAAACTGGATTGGGAGGGACCTTCAGAAGCTGCCTAGTCCATCCACCTAGCCTAAGGAGGGATCATTTATACCACTTACTTGTCTAATTGCTACTGATCCTCCTTGATACAGACTGCCATATCTCCATAGGCAATCTGTGCTGGTGCTTCCCCAAGCATAGGCTTGGGAGACTTTTCCTGTTATTCTTGTTTGTGCTATCCATCATGGGAAGAAGAACAGATTATTCTCTTCTCTCTAAAAGTGTTTGTCATCTTTTGTCATGTCCCCAATCAGTTTTAAAGCTAAACAATCCCAAGTCCTTTAATCTTTCCCAAGCGATTTTAAAATCACTTTCTTCTAGACTGACTCCAGCTTGTCTTTCTCATACCCAAAACTGAACAGAGTTTCAGCTGAACTCTTACAAAACGTGGGACAAAACAGTATGACTTGCAAGCTGTTACTCTGTACGTAAAACGTGATCTGATGTCTGCCATTTTGCCAACGGAAACTATTTGTTTCAATTTGTGATGTCCAATGGTATATACATGTATATCAGTATTTCAGTTGCTACAAGAGTACTTTTGAAGTGGTTGACTTCATCCCCATATAAAATGTTTATTTTGTATTACAGAGAAGTCTTGAGGTGCATGACCTGCTTTTCTTTGGGACAAAACTAAACCAAACAATGTTCCTCAAGAGTCTACTTATTGAACATTTTCTGCTGATGGACAGTCCACAAGACCAGACTAGAGCCAGACTCAAGTAAACCCTCTAAAAGTGAACCCACGAGAGCTGGATCCTCAGCCCTGACTCCTTCAGTCTACAAGCTTGCTACCATTGCACAGCCATGCTCAGGTACCCCCACAGGGTACAGAAGGACCTCACAACCTTCAGAACCTGTCTTGAAGAAGAGTACTTTACTGGTTGTACTGCTGTTATACTGTATACCACATGTGTACCCTGATTACTTTTGTACCATTAATTACTCTTGTCTTAGTGTAATATCTTGCATTTATGCACTTTGAATGCTATTTGACACTTCATTTCTCAAGCTCTCCTTAAATTCTAGCTCTGTCCTCCAATGCATTTGCTGTCCTTCTTGTCTTCAAGTCATCTGCAAATTTAATATCTGATATTTTCTTTTCCATCATCCAGGTGAATAATCAAAATGTCAAGTGAGTGAGATCCAAGACATATCCCTCTGACATGCTACTCAGTAAAGTAAGTCATTCCAACTGAAGAGTGAACCAGAGAAAATATTCTTAGCATATAATTATCTGGTCAATTTTATCCCACACTACAGAAGATCCACCAAGGCTATATATGCGGAAATCTTTTAATGAGAATGTTATGTAAGACAGTGTTCAGATCAAAATATGTGAAATTAACAGCTTCAGCTCTAGCTGTAGAATCTCGTTATGGACAGAAATTAAATTAGTTTAATGCAAGATGTTTGTGATGAATTCCAGTGGACTATTATTTATCTCCTTGCTATCCTTCAGGGACTTATATATAGTGTAGTCAATTATTTATTCTAGATTTTTTTCTAGAAATTGATGTTGACTAATCTTTTCCCCATTTAAGAATAATGACTATGATTGTCTTTTTTCCTGTCTTCTGGTACCTTATTTGACCTTTATGATTCTGAAAGGATTCATTTTGTACTACCAAATAAAACAGACCAAGGAACACAGTCTGCCCCTGAGGCCAAGTGGCACAGCACAATTCATCTCCACATGGCAAAACTTTCCCCTCACTCATCAGAAAGGAGTGTGGATGTTCAAGCTGTCCCTCACCCAGTTTATTCCCTATCAGTGTCCAGAAACTGTCTGGGAAAATAGTAGAATAAAAAGACAAAAATACGTCAGAGAATTTTTAGCAATAATCAGTTGGGGTGGTTTTAGGACAGCATGTTAGCCTATAACCTGCCTCTGTTCTATTTATGACTATAGGTATAGCCAGAAAATAACTACTATACCATTTGAGATGGCCTAAACCAGTTTACTGTGATGATGATGATGATGATGACAATGCTGCTTAGCTCAATGTTTATGATGCAAGATCTTTTTATCCCCCTAAGAACTGCAATAACAGCATGAGGAATGGGAGGTGTTTTTTTCAAAACTGCAGGGATATAAATACGGCCTGTATGTGCCAATTTAGTTTAGGAATCTAACTTACTCTTTGCTCTACACCCACCCCATAACGAATGCTTCCTTTCTATTCATTATATCTACTTTCTTTCCTTGAGTTTCTTACTTGCCCTCATTTTCAAATGACCTTGTTATTGTAATTCTGTAATATTATCTGCTACCCATTTCAACCCAGGTCTTCTTTTTAGTTATCATATTGTTACATTATGCAAGAATCATAATTCGGTTCTGTCTTAGAGACAGAACCCCCAGCTGCTACATAATGCATGTACAGATTCAATGCATTTCTAATGCTGAGATTTTTTCTTCTTTCCCATTGTTCATATAATCAGAAATATTCTATGGAAAAACTAAAAATAAATCTTCACCCAGTGGAATATGGTTCGTCATGTCTCTTGATATGGGCATTATCTCAGATTTAGCTCAGCTCATTTTGTACGGGAGATAGAGTGAGACTCAGCTCTAATTTAATATCTCTGAGATTGATCTGAGCTGTTTGCAGTTTCGGTCACACGTAATAAGGTGAAGGTACACTGTCTGATTGTCTGGCTGAGCATTTATGCTGTGCTTATCATAGTAACATATCTGAGCTGCTTTGAAAAAAATCCCTCTGAAAAGCCCGCAAAAATAATGACCTTCCAATATTATTAACCTAGGATGATTCCTTTGTGCTTGACACCATTAGTTTTCATTCCTTTAATGTTGTGCTTCTCCATTCTGCAATCCTGAAAATGGCAGAAGTTCTTTTCCAAGGTTGAATGGGAAGTTGTGTCAGATGTCCTCTGACAAGTCATGCCTCCTCATGGAGGCGGAACATGGAGGGGTTCTAAGGCTCATATGGCTGCACTGTGGGTTTTGAGACTGAAACAGAAAACACCATGGGAGACACTGCTAATACAAGGAGGAGGGAGAGATGGATGGTACCTATAACTGCAACACTAAATCTCTCCCTTTTGAGTATTTAGAAAAGATAATTCAAAATGAATAAATTCCGAAATATCTAGGCTATGCAATTCAGCCTAATGCTGTGGTCCCTGAATTAGCTCCAGAAGAAGTATAATTACATTGCCCTGTCATTCTGCCCAAGCTCCTTATTCTTCTTCAGAGGCAGATCTAATTACTCTGGGCACAGCACCAGTCTTATGCAGTCACAGCTCTACTGGGACTGAGCCAGGACATGTGCTGACGTTGTGCTGGACTAGACACTCAGACCAAAGTCTGCTCAGTGATGGCTTCAAATTGCTCTCCCAATCCCTTGTGGTACATTTCAGGTGTGTCAAAGTAGACCCCAAACCCAGACGAACTGTGTGGTAAGGTTCTGGAAGCAATAACCAGGGGGTATGTGGTTTCCCCTTTATATCCTTGATGCAGAACAAGAAACATTAGATGTCAAATTAAGCCTGTTGGCCACATACAGTCTTAGAGCCACAGAATGGTGTGGGTTGGAAGGGACTTTCGAAGGTAATCTTGTCCACCGTTCTGCAATGAGCAGGGACATCCTCAACTAGACTAGGTTGCTCAGACCCTCATCCAACCTGAGCTTGAGAGAGTTTCAGAGGAAAGAACAAGGCCCTAAGAGAATACAAAAGAATTGCCTGCAGTATTAACAGAAATATCCGAAGATAGTTTTTACTTAAATACTCCTCTTTTGTATTGCAAAAGCAATGAGATAAACACTGTAGGTTCTGCAAACAGAATGCCAGCTTCATTTTTAAGGCTTTTGTCTTCCAGAATAATCCTCTATATTAAGAGAAGGACCGTTGTGGTTTTTCTTTTTTTCTGCTGAGTTGTTTTGAAATTCAAGTTTGTTGGCTCTGTTTCTTGTCATTGTAACATAATCAATAGGTAAAAAACTGTTTAGATTCCCAGATTTACATTACGGAACTTATATTTCTAATGAAGAAGGCCACTGGGCCTGTCATTACAGTTTGTAATTATAATCTGGTGTGACACTGGTGCTGCCTCATTTAAGGGAGGTACTGCAGACTACTTTCAGTATTGTCAGACACAGCAGGGCTTACGAAGACCAACCCAGTGAAAACGGAAGACATTTTTAGGGACTTCAAGAAGCCAATGGACCAGTCTGACAAATGACACAGAATAGCCTGAGTGATTGTGACTTTTTTTTCTATCAGTGATATAAGAAGCTGGACTGTGGGAGCCGTAGGGGCAGCCTGAGTTGCTCACCCTACTTTTGTTGTCCAACACAGTGTGAGACAGAAGAAATATTAATTTAACTTTGCAGTATACCATCATTGTACCAATACCACTCTTTTGGAAAGCTGTCTATTCAGCCAGCAGAGGAAACTGTATCCCCTGCTGTTGCTTATATGCTCAGTGGTACCAGTAATAGTTATACTGGTGCCTGCCTTTCAGCAGCATGATTTGGATCCATTACACCTTTATTTTACCAGAAGCCTCAGAGAAATCAAGAGTATCAAGGGTGAAGAAAGCATTCTGGCATGAAAGGCCAAGAATCTATTTATCCTGGACAAATTCAAAATTCTACATTAAATATCTCATGCCTCCTTTAGATTCCATTCAGGCACATTATTTAAAGTGTAAAAAGTAAAAACCTGGAGATAGCTTCATGATATCTCCAGGATAACGACTGTTTGTTCATTTCTGTTAGTACAACGTTTGGCACAACAGGCCCCTGACTCCAAGATCCTGGGAAACCTGGGAGTGCAGAAGTTTGACAGCAGCTAAGAGATGGAGTGTCTGAAGCTGGGAGACAGCCACTAAAGCCATTCCATAGTTCTTCATTCTCTGTCAATTTTGGTAAATCATGCTGAGTTCAGTAGAAAGTCCTCTTGTGGAATCTTGACTCATTTGAGTGACTATGGTGCTCTCCATCAAGCCATGACACATTTATGGGCTCAACGGACTTCACTGCAGCAGGGGTGCTATGTTTTCTATTCCATAAAATAAACTGTGCAATTTACGTTTTCTCTTCTCCTTTCCAAATTTTGTAATCTAGAAGAACAATAAGCACATATATTGCTTTTATGAGAGAAAGTTCTCAGAACCTGGCAACTTGCCTCGTCTCCTCATTTCTTTGTATTGGGGAACAGGCAGGATAGTTTGCTGCAGCAAAAGAGTGAGTAGAGTTCTGTCTCTCTGAAACCAGTCACCAAGGAGTGCAGGACAGAGCCAGCATGTTGAGGTCTTTGGGAGAGACAGGGGATAATAAATCACCTTATTACTTCTTGTTTCTCATTACAGCCAGTATCAGGAGAAATGTGTCTAATCTTACTGTGTGGCACTGCTTCAGCATGGGTGAGGGAAGGGTAAACAAGGTTTAGAGCCCATTCTGTCAGCTTTACTCTTAATATCTCCTACCTGGAACAGATTCTGACACTCTCATGACACTGGGGTGAGAATGTGGATTCTGGATGTATTTCAAAGGGGCAAAGAATAGAAATTGTGTCACACAATTTGGGGGTTGGTCCTTTTATGTATGACACCCTGGGACTGCCTAATGAGGCACAAAATTATTTTACATATCTGCTAGAGCTCTGCCTCTCACAGTTTTGCCTCTAATACCAGCTCATCTATTCTCCCCCTTGACATCCTCTGTGATTGGATTTTAGTAAAGTGGATGATTTTTTTTAATTTATTTATGCATGCCTCTCCTTCTTCAGCTGTTCCAGACAAGCCCTCCTGCCTCTCACACACTTTCTACTGATCCTTTCTTTAAATGTGGTCCCTGCAGTCATTGTAAAGGGACAAGAGCAGAATGAGGGACCTTCCGCAGTGCTTGATCTACCCATGATATCCATACAATGAGGAGACCTGGAAGAATCCAAATGCTCATGGGCAGAGTGGGCAGAACCTCCTAGTGAAGGACTCCTGTTTATCTGTTTGTTTTCAGTATGTAACTGAATTAGGATTTTCCTTCTCACACAGGTGAGCTATCCTTTGCGTAGTCACACTGGAACTTTGTGCATCAACATTTCCATTCTGTTATAAGTTCTCTGTCTGCCTCTTACTTGAGGAGTGGTGGATCTGTCTGGGCAGATCCAGGGCAGCACTGGGACTAGGTCTACCTGGCTGTCTCCAAAGGAGAGCCTGTGCAATTCTACTTTCAACTCTGAAAGCATCAGCCCCTGCATCCTCACTGCCTTGTACCCTCTCCTCAAAAGCGGGTAAAAGTGGAAATGTTCTGAGAAAATGATGTGACTTTTGTGTAAATTCACAGTTAAAACTACAGGATAATTTTCCTCTTCTCCAAAGCTAGGAAACAGACCACTTCCATGTTGGATGAGGATTCATCAGATGGAAAGTGTTGGTGGAACTGTCACATTTCCCTCCAGATATACCCACAATGGACTGGTGAAGGCTTATCTGCACTGATGTCCAGCGTAAAGATCTGAACAGGCTTCAGCTGAAGTAATCAAAATACCAGTAATATCCTAGCTGCGACACCACGGAGTTCCTTAGAGCCAACTCTTTTCCTTATCCCTCCTCTTTTAATAACTCTGATAAGTAAAAAAGGAAGGAAAACATTTCCAGCTTCACTCACTCAAGGAACAGACGTTGCCATTGATGAGCTTAACAAAATTGCAGAATTAAAACCTCTGAGTCATCTGGTTCACCTCTTTAACTCAGAATTTGTTTCAAAAATGCATTCATTAGTTCTTTTGCAGTAAAGCAAACATGGCTTCCTATAAAAGGGACCAGGTAGAATAAAGTATCAGTCTATTAGCACAAAAAGTAGAAGAAGTCTACAAGGCAAGGTCATGTTTTCCTGTAATGCTTGAGAGATGTGCTATTGGAACTATCTTGATTGTATGAGGATCTCTCAATATTTATAGAGGTGTTAAAAATACTGTAAGCTATGTCATAAGATAATGTTTTAGAATGCAAACTCTGACCTTCTCAGGTAGATCTGGTTTTTCCTCCTCCTTTTCTTACAGGGAATATTATATCAGCCTGTGGGCTGCATTACATAACTAATTCCATTGTATAGGTCCGTGTTATCAGGGAACAAGGTCAAACACTGTATCTTTGATCATCCAAATTACTCATCTGATGTTTTGTCTCAGCCAGCTCTCTCCAAGACAAGGCTGCTCTAGAGTGTCTTATGCAAGGCAGTGTGGACATTGTCCATCCTACTTAGCTTGAGATTCAGAGGCTGGATACCTGACCCTTTTCTATTTTATCAGCATAGATATGGATCATATTCAGACCATTGGCCCCTGAGCCAGACTGAGATGGTGGTTGTTAAGATATCCTTCATTGTCAGGAGAACAATGAATGATTCAGAAGCGTAGCAGATGAGGCTGCCAGACCCTTTGCAATCAGCAGAGGTAAGAACTCAGTGGATGTGAAGAAAGATGTTGCAATTTA